GATAATAAGTATAGTCTCTAATTGTAGAGAAACAGTTATGCAGCAGAAAAGATTTTACTTTAATTTAAATTTGTGAACCGACTTTAATTGTTTAATGTCATCTGGCAGTGCGTCGTAAAGTAACGTGCATGTTGTATGTGGATTTCTGTTAGTGAGCTGTTGAAATGTAACAGCTATGAGGGTGAGGCAAACCCGAAAATAATATTGCCTCAAAAGAATAGGAAGCACAAGAGATACTACCATTTTGTAGAAACATCAGTTACTTTCTCGTATACTACTAAGTAGTATAAAAAAATTTGGGATAGCTTTAGGGTAACCTGGGCAAGGAATACAGTGATAGAGTCTTCCTTTAATGGGTGCAACCGATCAACGAGACAAGCACCAACCTCAGCCATGACAGGGTTTTAAAACAGAATAGATTATTTATAATACTACACATGAGTATTTCTTGTATTTCCGGTAGTAGCGTTTCCCAAATACATTGACTAAAAATCCACAAAAACATGTTCAAAAAATATTTTGATAACAATACAATTTTACTGAATTAATTTATCCTCATTCAATCCTACTGCCCTACTAATATAAAATACTTCATTTCAATGTGGTCATATTCTAAAAATTACAATTCATTTAATCTATTTTTAAACTGTGTAACATTGTGAAGTCTCCAGCATCGCTGCAGCTAGTTTGTTCCGATTTTGTTATCCATTCGCCATTCCATATTATGCCGTTTCCTACTGTTCCAATTTTCAGTTAAAAACGAAGGTTTAGACACCCTCTATCATGTCTCAAGTTGCGGTGGGTTTAACAGTAAGCGGAATAAAGAGATGCAGGGAATCCGGGGTGTATCACAGGGCCAAGAATTTCGCAATATTCATGTTTTAAAAAAAACAACTATTTTTTACTGATTTTTGATACGGATTTTACTGCTTTTGATACGGAGTTCGATATACTGTGCAAAACTTACCTACATCGAGCGGATCGTGGTCGCGAGGGAAATATTAAAACTGTTAAATGATCCTATGTATTATTTTATGGAGGGAATTATGAAGGGATTAATCGGAGGAAAATACGAAAAGGCAAACCGAGTCAACATCTAGTTACTTAGTTCACTGTTTTTCATGATCTCGGGCTAAATACCCTCGGGCTTTTAGTCGACACTCCACCATTCGAACCCTTGTAACGCTTTCGGTGCATAAATAACTTATTTGATAACGAAACTCTTACACTTTCCAGGACTCTAAGGATGTCTATTACCGCAC